CCTTTATTATTCGTAATTCATAATATTAGGTTTGCATATACTATATATTATAACATGCTGCCCTCAGTAAGTTACTATAAAATCCCTAAAATATTCCTTTCTTCGGGAAGGCAGACTTGAGATCTATTTAAGAAATAAGGCCTTGAAGAATTGAGGAATCCTTTATGGAGGCTTCCTCCATTCTTAAAATAAGGAAAGACTATGAATACGGTGTTAGAGAAATATACCAATAGCAATAAGCATTCATTCAATTTTTATGTCCATTGAACGTGTTTATCGGTCTTTCCAGTTGTAAAATCACTAAAACACTTGTGCACGTGACAATACAAATTGTGTTCCAGCTTTTCCCCCAGCAGAGAGAAACTATCGATATATCGATTTCTCGTCTCCAGCTTTAAAAAATGGACTACCCTAAGAAAAGTGGACATTGTAGTTTACATCTATTTTGTCAGAGGGCAGTAGTGCGCGGCAACATTTTGCAGTTACAGATTTTGGCCTGTCATGTCCTCTCTCAGGTTTCTCTCCGATATAATGGAACCGTAAAAACGTGGACATTAGGTTTACACGATAAAAATCGGGATATCCACTCTCAGGTTCTTCTCTGGCAGGAGTTTTGATAAAAGAATGCTGGAGCATGTTGAAGCATGCGACGCGAACAAATTTAGTGTAACACAATGGGTCATAAATTAAGGTATAGATATAATAGAAGGAATAAGGAATTAAGAATAATGAATAACGATTTCGAATCTATCAGAAATCGGCATGCACGATTTCTAATAAATTAAAATAGTTATTCTTTATAAAAGTTATTCTTTATTCCTTTTAAGTTTTACTTAAAGATGTTTCCACCTTTATATCCTTGTTGTTTGTCAACATTGAACAAGGATGAAATGATTCACTGTATTACACTAGTGTCCTTGCTAGAAAATGCTCCCAGTTGCCGTAATCAATGGCACAACACATCTGCGCTCAGCCCAAGAACTATAATACTAATCAATTGTGTAAGCTTATGTTTTCTAATGACAATTACATATTACTAATCGCAGCGGCTATAAATGAGATTGGAGGACATTGAACGCGGCCGGCATTTTTTCTTTTTTCATTCAATACAGGCGGCAAAAGCTACATTTAATCTAACTCTATTCGAAACCATGCATAGCGTAATTCTGTTCCAATTGTACATAATGTTACACTTCGGGTACTTCCCATTTAGATATATAAATCGACATAATCATCATTCTATCTTTTTTTGCATTCCATGAGTAATGACAGAACGATATTTATGACGATTTATATCATTAAACGGAAAGCATCCACAATGATCCCTCGATATCTCGTAAATGTTTGTATTGTAAATCGTATGTGTATAAAAATCGCATTTACACAAGTAAATCCTATTAGAGTTTAGTCGTCACGCCAGTATCCTCTTATGGCTTCTCTAATGATACTTAGATTATTTAGAAATTCGCAAATTAAATATTTTATCGAAAGCGCTTCTAATTTTTTACAAATTTAGGTAAGATGTACGTTCAATGAGTAACTTACGAAATCGTTAAATTACTTTTCACCGAATTAAAAAAAAATTGATTTCAAGGAAATCTTTACTTAAGTAGAACACAGAAATCATAATATCATAAGAACATTATCTTGATCTTATTTGTCACTTGTATAAGCTTATTTTTAAATATCAAATGACATCATGATGACGTTCCATGATATCATTATGACTTAATTATGACTGTGTGTTGTACACCTGAATAATTTTTATCTGTCAAAATTGTCAAAAATTAGGAAACTTAGCGGCGTATTCTCTCCCTCGCGCACGCGTCTGCTGTGCCCGCAGATAAGCGGTATCTACGGCGCGGCAAGTCGACCTGCGGAAGACGGCGGCGTCGGCGCCGATGGCGATGTTTTCAGGACGGTTTGTAGCAAGAGTGACATGAGCAGGAGAGGAGAGCACTGCCGGTGCGGATGAGGTCATCGTATCGTTTTTTAGCCGGCAGTCGCCGGTCGCGACGCGGAGCGCCCGAACGCCGGCCGCGCTGCTTCATGCGTTCCCGCTGCCGCCGCCGCAGCTGCCGCCGCCGCCGCCGCCGCCGCCGCCGCTGCACGCGTTGCTGTTAAGGTGCCGAGCGAGCGGTAGTCTTGCAAGCGAGCGAGCGAGCGAGCAAGCGGTCGAGCGAGCGCGCAAGCGAAGGAGCGAGCCGGGATATGCAACGACGTGCCACGTGCCACGTGCGTTTCAGCGTGTCCGCGAGTTCACTCAGGTTGTCCTCCGGCAGGAGGTGAAAATCGGAGCAAAACTCCGCACTCGTATCGCGTTTCGCCCGCCTCTCCTTTTACCCTTTTGCACATTCCGACTTCCGAGGGAGGGACGACATCACGAATTTTCGCGCCGGGGTGAATTCCCGAATGAGAATCCCGCGAGAAGATCCTGCGAGCGACGCGATGCCTCTCGAAGCGCGATCTCGATCTCGCACAGTTGGTGTCAGATGAGGATCCGCTTACAGAGGGTCCGTTGTGTATCTTAAAATGAAGTGAAAATTACAAAGTGAGCAAATTCACTTGGCTGATATTCATAGTTCATTCTTATTCTAAGATCGTCTTAAGTGTTGTCTTAAGACGCTAATAATAATAGGCTCTGTAACCGGTATTTATTGTCGATTCTTATTTTAGGACAGTATTAAGTACAGTCTTAAGATATCATAAATCAATCAGAGGGCTGTATTAGCATCTTAAGACATTACTTAAGATGGTCTTAAAATAAGAACTGACTATGAACATCGGCTTTTGATTGGTCCATGACATCCTAAGATGATCTTGAATTATAAGAATCGATTATGAATCCCGGCCTAAGTATATGTATTACAGATCGATGGAGTTATAAATATTTTAGTAAATCCGCTCATTTTTTAATAATTTTCACCAAATCGTCTGATACACAATCAAATCTCACGGGACAAAAATTTAATTTGTCTCTATATACAGGATGTTTGATAATTGGTAACCATGAGAAAGTGAGTGAGTCCCGTTGAAAAGGTATTTTGCGAAGATTAATAGTTTTCTGTTAGAAAATACTACTTCGAAATAATACTGCGCACGCACGTAGTTAATGTCAATTGTAGAGAGCAAAGGATATTCTTGAGAATCGAATAAAATTCTAACAGAAAAAAACGGAATACTTTTTCCGATTTAGTCAATAGTCGGTTTATTTTTATATATGATTTTTTTCACGGATGTTCTTTATTTCTCCGTAATTTAGCATCGCTTTCACGAGAAACGTGCGTTGATAACAAGCTATATACTTTAGAGATATTTCTGCCTCTTGACGAGTGTAATTTGCATAGTGAAGACTTTCTTCGTGGTGACTGTCCTTTCTATAATCCCATATGATTATTATTTTCACAATGCACAGCTGTTGCGTGGTTCATGCAGGCTGCCGTCACGCATGATAGTACTCGTGTTACCTGCGTGTCAGAAACCGGGAATTGAAACCGGTACGATTTCGGTGAGTTCATGTTTCCACGCTATATCAAAGTACGACGGCGATCTCTATATTTAACTGAAAAAAGTGTCGTAAGAACATACATTTTCTGTATTTACCTTATATCTATATACATTTTCTTATCTTATCTTAAATAACATCGAATTTGTGTATTAAAACTGGGTTTACCGAAATTGTGTTTGTTTCTTTATGTCAGTATTGCGTAAATTTGATGGCAATTTAATTCGGAATCATCTCTTGTTTATTGACGTTAATAAAATCCAACATTAGTTTTGGTTTGCTTGTAGCGTCAGAATTCATCGAAATTACGACAGTTTCGATTATACCCAACGTGCGATTCTCCAAGAAGGAACGAATTGATTTCGAAGCGCCGTTTCTGACTTTGGCTGTAGAAGAGCGGATTTGAAGTTCGGTCAGCCGCAGCGTTCTTAAACCTGTTCTGTACTCCCCCTCAGACATCGGATACATCGACGGGTTTTCGAGCAGCTGAAGTATCCGAGAGCGTGTCTTCCTGAAAGTCTTTCTCGCCGGGAATCTCTCCTTTCAGAATCTTCTCATTAGCCGTCCTGTAATTGCGGATGAGTTATTTCGCGCTTCTGAACACATGATATTTCGCGCTTTTCACAAACGTGTAACGCACGTCGATGCTTACAAATATCGTAAAATTTTCATATATGAAGAAATATAAACAATATTATTTTGGAAATGTTTATGCAATTATCTTTTGTGCATTTACTACTTTTATGATATTTAAAGTATCAGTTTTTGTTTGCGATAATAGGGAGAACATTGACTTTATCATATTTGAATAATCAGTAGTTTGTTTGTGTTAGTAAAGCTAAAAATACAAATGTAACAATAAAGAGATAATTGAACTTGAGCTATTGTAAACTGAGGTAACAGTGATTGTTTAATATTTAAAGCGCCGATAATGACGCATCGTGGTTTGCGGATAGATAAAAATTGTGAGCTTCCTTTTAGACACGTATGTCAAGATAAACAGCTAAAAATGTCTCTAGGAAATGCTAAAAAAGAATAAAATATTACTTGTAAAAAATATTATCTGTAAGATTATAATAGCAATTTATATAAAAGCATTATGTATTAAGATATATATTAGAATTTAGATAATTGCTAGCACATATTGTAAACTTCTTTTTTTTTATTAATAC